TCCATTTCTAAGAAGAGTGGGCGAGCAGAACGAACTGATGAGTGAGAATTAAAGGTGAGATGCTAAATGTGGCATGCGACAATAGTCGTATGTAGAACCCCCATTCATATAAAAACAATGTTTAAGTGAAATTTTAGTGTTTGTTCCTTACATATGAAATAAACACTTACAAAAAGCCGAATAACTGTTTTAAATAGCGTAAAGTTTTATGCTTTCTAAGAAATGGATACCGTTAACTTCATTGCTACTGAAAACTGAAAGTATCGGCAACAATGTTTATATTTCTGGCATATCTTTTAACCTTTAATTTAATAAAACATAATCTAACGAAAAAAGTTCAGGGAATTTTTATTCTTCTGCATCGAATACCAACAAACTCACTAGATTTTCATGGCCAACCCTACTATATAAAGGTCGTGAACGGATAATAAATGATTTTCGATGCGTCAAACGTGAACTATGAAGCTACTCGACCACAAAAATAACTAAGTATTTAAGGTTTATCCTGCAAAAGTTTGAGTCCACAAGTCATCAAGTTTTTGGGGGAGTAAACAGTTAAATTTTGAATAGCAATTTACCTTATTTATGATAACCCTCAAATATTTGCAAAATGTTAGGGTAGTCAGCTGTGAATTTTCTAAGATAAAACGTCTCAAGTTTTCTAGTGCATTTAAATTCTTTGCCCAAAAATCTAGATATTTATGGTAAAAAAATTAATATACGGGAGGATATGATTTTATAAAGCCGAAATAGGATTCACTTAGTAAACTAAACCAGTTACCTTCAACTTTGTTAATGTGGTTTTTGCAAAAACCGCAAGGACTCAACACACAACGATTGATTTATTTAAAAACTAATTATGAATTTAGAACGTTTTAAATGATATTAAAACAATAGTTATATTTTATTACTTTACTGCAAATCTATATATATAAAAAATCAAAATTTGTATTTTTTGCATCCATCAAAACAGACATTTATATTTAACGATGTGTTAAATTGGTAATGATTGATGTAATACCAAACATATAAAAAGTGAAGGGAATTTTTTTTACCAATTTTATAATCTGGGACGAGCAGTATTATTATAAATAATAAAACAAGCCGTTAAAAATATTACAGCTTGTGAAAAAAAAAACTCAAACAAATAATATTTTAGCCAATAATTGTAAAATTCCGTTGATTATTATAAGTAAAAGTAATGGTTAGAAGCTACATTAATATAACGAGATTATAATTTTTAAAAACACTAATTTGCTGAGGGTCAAATACCAGCTCGTCTCTAAATCATCTCTGTCTCTATTTTATTCGGGTTAATCTTGACTGAGTAACATTTTTTATTGTCTGATTATCCATTGTTTGTGTACTTTTCTCTGAAACATCTTGTATACAGAGCGATTAGTCGATTACTTGGTACGTAGCATTTTTAAATGTCTGGTATGCCAAGAAAATGCCTCAACAGGAAGTTAATACTTCATTATTTATACCACTTATAAAGCAATAAAATAAAACAAGAACACGAAAACAAAGTAAAGAAATAGTTTAAAAATAGCACCGTATTTCTCCCCTGACAAATTTCACTAATGAAGCTCTAATGCGTGCATTGGACCGCTTTAAAACACTTGATTACAATGATGCTCTCAACACCGTCTGTTTTCTTTTCTAATAAATTTAATTAAAAATTCTCGCTACGTTGACAGATTCAGATGACAACATGCACGAGTCGCGTTTGACAGCTCACATGCTTCATTTAAAAATAGAACAGTCACCACGAAAGCATCGCGAGGACATCCGGTGCCTATTTATTTGTTATTATTTTTTTGCATTATATTTATTTGTGTGTTTACGGTGCTGGGTGTTCCCATTTTGTGGGCTGTTTGTTTGTAATTACAGTAGTTGAAAATAATCAAAAAGGGGAGCTAGGAAGAATGGTTGTGGTTTTATTGCGAGTAAACACCAGAACGAATAAAATAGGTGGAACTGAGTATTTAAGAATAACATTTTAAAAATTATGAGTATGATGTAGGTTGTTGTTTGAATTCCTTAAATACAGGAAAAATTTTTCGGAAAATAAATCAAATACTTTTGGTAAAATATGCAAATACATATTCATTTTTATCATTTATGTTAGACTATCAAAGTTCATTTGCAGTAATTTAGCGATTTAACTAATCTAATTTCTTATCAACACAAGACAATATAAAATTTAATATGTAACAACTGACTTGAAACATGTTAGACGGAAAAAAACATTAATAAACATACTGGGTAACTGTTAATGATTGAAGCAAATTTTTGTGTTGGTAATTCTAAATATTGGCAGCGGTGTTAACATGTCAGTTCACAGTTGTCAAACAGGAACGCGCCTAACGCACCTTACAAACATGATGAGAAGATGCCCTAAACTTCATTTTGACAATCAGGTATGCCATCATAAAATGTTAAATATGTTGCTAACCCGACAAAAACAATTAATTAATAGTCACCCGGTACTTGTTGCGTAAAAAAAGTCGAGTCGCGTTTAATTGACACTTTGATATGTTTTATCTTCACTTTTTTTCGAAAAATAAGAAAAATAGTTCTCACATAGTTTCAAGTATGTCTTGAATAACGGCAGTCAGATTCAAGAAGAATGACGTGTAAGGTCTCGAATGATCATAGACATAAAGGTCAGGTCAGGTCATTGGCAAATCCAGCTATTATTTACAGCTAATTTGGGATTTGTTACTACGTTATCTGTCAAACTTCTTGCATCCCTATTTTGTGTTTTGTTTTATTTTCTGTCATATACAAAAAATTTATTAATTAAATCTTTACTAATATTTTTCAAAATCAAAAATAATATTTTCTTGAACTGCAAATGACATCCGTGATTTTCATTTATGTATTTGTTCTTTTTTTTTATAAGATAACATAATCTGGTTGTTACGTTATGTATAAAACAGTGACAGAGTAGATCGAGGGAGAAGTAAAGAGGCAAAAAAACAAGGCGTAAACAGCAATAGAGAAACAATAACACAGGCAGAAACAGAGAAACAGATAAGCAAGTACAGAGACACTAAAACAAGGACAAAGAAACAGCTAGAGAAGTGAACAAAGAGCCTAGTCGAGAAAAGGAAAAAAAGGAGAGAGGTGGGATGGAGAAAGCTAGATGAAGGGGGAGAAAAAGAGAAAGACCAAGAAACATAGTGAAAGAAACAAAAACACATGCTCTCCCTCTATTATTGAGCGAATAATAGAAGGAGAACAAGAGAGTGAAACAGAAGACAAAAACAAAAAAACAGAGAGCCAGAGACATAAAATGATAGAAAAGAACGAGAAACACAGTGAATAGCTACACAATAAGAGAGAGATGGAGAGAGAGAGAGAGAGAGAGAGAGAGAGAGCTTGGTCTAAGCTTATTTAGACAGAACTTCCCTGGCGCTTCATCTATAGTCCAATAAACTTAGTTTCTTCGAAAAATTATAAAATTTGATTTTGAAAAATTTTCTTTATATTATGATAACCCTATAGGTTAAAAAAATATACTTAACACCATTCACAGTGTAATAAAAAAAAGTGGCTCATGAGGATCGAACACGTGACAATTGTGGTATTATCCGAGCTTTAATGAACTGAACTCTTACATTTCTAAAAAACGTTGCTACACATTTTTAATTTTTTTGGGAAAACTCTGGTTTTCTAACGTACAAATTCAGCGAGGACTCATAAACCACGAGTACAGGAAGGATTGTGTTCTTTTTTAACATTTAAACAGCATTTACCATGCAAAGTTTTCAGGTCACATAATCAAATTGTTGCTAAAGATAGTTAGACAATTTTGCGTTTTACCATCTACATAATATTCCTAACAATATATTTAAGATTGTAGGGGACATGATACGTGGAGAAAACGTAGTTGTAGTAGTACTAGTAGTATACAATACTTCCTTAGCTTACGCTCGGGAATTAAAAAGGAAGAGAGAGGAATTAAAAGAAGATAAGGGAAGAGCGAGGGAGGTAATGAGAAACAGGGCGGAAGAAAAGAGGTGAAGGAAAGTGAGGGATAGAGGGAGAGAAAGTAAGTAAGAAAAAGGGATACATACAAAGAAGGATAGTGACAAGAGAGAGTCAGAAAAGGAAGAAAGAGAGAATCAAAGAAAATGTGAGATATAGACAGGGAACCTAGAGACTGAGTGGCAGAGAAATAGAGAAAAACACACAAACGGAGAGAGAGAAAGCAAAAGTCGGAAGACACAGACATCGATAAAAACCTAAGATGCACAGGGTTGAAACAAGTGAGGGAGATGGAGACAAAAGCCAAAAGGCAGGAAGCAACAGAGTCACGGAAAAACAAACGACGAACATGCAAAGAAAAACAGAGGGGTATAGAAACAGACACAGGGATAGAAATAGAGTGATACATGGAGGCCGGGACAGAGACAAAACAAACCGGTAGACGCATAGAGATACACACAGAGAGAGGAAAGAGAGACACAAACAAACAGATGGTGACATAGACAGAAATATAGATTCGGATATAAAAAGACATGGAAAGAGAGGTAGACAGATAAAATTACAGAATGTGAAGATCTGTTGAAATCTTTGTACATATTTCATTTGTTATCAATTTTCGAAAGTTTGATTTTTTTTTATAAATATATCAAGAATTAATATTTTGTTGTTTATCAATTAACAATTCATACGACTGCTCTTACCCCATCCACTTAAACTTCGCACTAGCAATTAACGATTTCCCTAATGGACATTCCTGCGACTGCTTCGCGAATGGCGTTATCTGCACTCTGAACCATTCTCTTCTGCATCTTGCAAGCCGATCTAAATTCGAGCGGCTTTTTTCACCGACGGCTCCGTTCTTTTTTTTTTTTTTAATTAAGAGCAGCCAGTGACAGTAACCGTCTTATATTTAGAACAGTGTCTAAATTCTTTTAAATAATAGCCATACTTGGATAAATATCTGTAACACGATATATGGAGGGGAGGCATGCACTCATGGCAGAGCTCGCCGGTACCGAAATCAGTCACAGTAGTCTTCTGCATTTGTCGGGAAGTACACTACACTGCAGCCAACATGAGGGAAATCGTACATCTTCAGGCCGGACAGTGCGGAAACCAAGTTGGAGCTAAGGTAGGCATTTTTTTTATTATTTATTTACTCGCGATTTTTTTTCTTGTTGCTGCTTTATGATTTGTTGTGAGATTCGGTTTTGGTTTTTAATTGGATTTTAACATTATCACGACATGTACATTAAAAATTTAACAATGGACGCCTTATCGGCGGAAGTGAATCATGTGCTGTAGATACAACAAAGAAGTAATGAGGCGGACGAAGAAATTGTTATCCATGAGGGACATGAATTTTTTTCTACATGGCTACCACTTTTCGTCTAAATTAAAATATTAATTACTTAAGTGGTCCATTTCGGAGTGTTTTTATTTGATAATTTTACAGGTACATAAGTAGAGTATTGAAGAAAAAATACGGAAAGAGTACGTTTTTCTTAATGATATAATATTATAGTTTTCATTTCAAAGATTTGGTTCTTGGCGGCTACTTGTAACAAATATTTTTGTCAAATTTCGGTGGTTAAAAATTTTATGTAGGTATTAATCTGGGGAGCTGTACAGATAATTTTTTTTTGTTACTATAGGATTTTTTAAAAATAGATGGCTACTTATATTCAAATTAAGCTTTTACTTTTACCTATAGATGTATTAATATTACTTGAATAATTCATAATGCTGTGCACTATTTCGATTACATATATTTATTTTTGAATGCATATTAAAGTTAAACATCATTTGGATACTATGTGAATAACAATAATCTTAGAACGAGACCTTGTGGAACACCATAATTATTTAACAAGTATTATGAAAATCCATTGTACAAATTAAACATAATTCAGCTCTCAATTTACTACAGTTTTGTTTTTTTATTTAAACAAAATGGATTCTAGAGATATTCTAAAATAAAACATTGCTTTAAAATATACTTTTTATAAGGCGTTTTTATATTGATACATTGTGGGACTTAATAATAATTTTACTTTAATTTCCCTAGTGTATAAGATTTAATCAAAGCTTACACATTGGTTTATGTTCTCCATAATTTTCAGTGTTTGAGGTTTATCAAAGAAATTGATTTAAACGCAAAACCTTGATAAGTAAATTAAACTTCGCTTCTGAATAATTTATTTTAATATTGCGTTTACTCGTTATTACTGTGCATGAGTAGTCTTGTAAATGATTCAGCGTTATATCCCCTTATTTGCAAGACTAGGTTGTAATTTTTTGCACGAACGTGTAACTAGTAATGATAAAACGGTTTAACATTTTTTTTTAGAAGATATCTACTCTATACAAACAATTGTTTTTAAAAATAGCTTGAAGGACGCCAGATTTATCTACTTTTCTTTTTTAAAATGATTGATGGGAGAATCAACAGGAGCATTATTTATTGCCCAAAGTTGATACTGGATTAATGTCAAATGGAGTTACAATCAACGAATTAAAATTAATTTTAATTTGAATGTCACTAACGAGATAGTATGTAGAATAACGTAGAAATCATTGTACAGAAAAAAAGTATTTAATACTGGATTGTTGCGGAAAATGACTAGTATGGGTTTTAAAGATTACAATTCGATTAGTGCTTATTGTTTTTTTTTATGAATACAAATCCACTTTTGCGCAACAAGAACTAGTCTTTGTTGATAAGTAATGCGCCAGTTCGTTTGTATTTTTAATTGAAACTTCATTTTAACTGTAAACGTAATTTCTGCTGTAATTTAAGGGAATTATTTTTTTAAGTTATGATTGCAGAATGCAATTGTGGGAAAATGAAATATTAATTTTTTGGTTATTATATTACTCATATAAATGATAAAAATGTTTCTATTTGCGTTTTCATAACATATTAGCATGTTTGCGCAAAACAGTTTCTTATGCAGTTTACCTTATGCTTACACTTATAATTTATAATTATAGTTATAAGCATAATTGTAACAGTTATGCTGACGGTTTAGGACCTTACATTGGCAAGCAGAACTGACTTTCTGACACGTAAATTAATTAATTTTGCACATGAATTATTTAGAAATTTTGGCAACTTGTGGCAATATAGAAGATGTTCAGAACTACTCAGTGTATCAGTTAATACAAAAAGAGTTTCTTTTTCAGTTGTGACATAATTAGAGTTCTAAATGACACTGATTGACATTGTAAAAAAATTATGTTGTTGTCAATATAAGATGTAACGATTATGAGTGTTATAATTGTAAGACATAAGTTATAAGGGTAAGTGTAAGCATAAGAAAAAAATTATAAGAAAATGTTTTGCGCAAACACGCTATTAACTTATCTAACTAATATAACCGTAACGAAAAGTTTCAGTTCTAAATTAGATCTAACCATGTTTTGTTGTTTCGAAATGTGTGTAAGCTGTATTTAAAATAAATGAAAAAATTGCGGTTTACACATCTGCGACAGGAAAAAACGCAGAAAACGAAACCGCGAATATCCGATTAGATCAAAATATGAAGTAAAAAATAAATAATATCAACTTTTGTGTGATTCTGCGGAATTTTAAAGTTCTGAAAGTTCCTGAACTGAACTGTTCATGTTTTGGACCGTTTTAGTTGGCATTAGTGTCATTAACACCACAATTAAAAAACTATAATGCGTCTGCTATGTTTATACAAACAATTTGATGTGTTCGTCTATAAAATTAAATACGATTTCCTGGTTTCTGTTAAACGGAAATGAAGCTGTGAGTATCAAATGATACATTACCCTTTTAAAGACGAGTTAATTTTTTTGAGCAGTTCCATAAGTTTGAATTTCTTAAAAAAACTATTTAAAATTATTTTTTTAATGTTATGACGAGCCAGAAACTTATGAACTAGTGAACGTTTTTAATTTTCAAAAATACAAAAATTTTGCAGTTCTATTTTGATATTATCTCGTAAGCTTTAATGAATTTTGTACTAGTTAATAAAAATAAATACCATTAATATATCAGCAGTGTTAGCTTTCGTACTTTAACTTTACCTTTAATGCAAGAAATAGACTTTTAACTATCAATCGATTAGTTGATCATGTAATGAAGAAGATCAATCTTAAATGCGTTTTTAATTCTTTACTAAGATAATTTTTGATTTTCTCTTATTATAAGTATCTACTCAATTTTTTTTAAATATATTTATTGATTCTGGAATTTCCAACGGTTCATTACGTTAATGTGTCCCAATTTTCAAAAAAATGATATACATAGTTGCCTATACATAATATAAAAAAGAATTTACTTGACAATATTTTGAGTTGGCGTCAAGTTTGAAAAAGGCTTTTGAAACTTCCATATTTTCTAAAAGTTGTGAAAATATTTGATATTTCGAAGATCTGTGTATGGATTTAGCCATACATTTTCGGAGATTGATTTAAAATAAAACAAATATATAAAATTCCCAAAATTCCTAATACATACATACATATTTTCTTAATTCTCCATGGAACTTAACAATTCGTGTGGGGGGAAACATTATTAACCCACATTGAAAGCAAAAATCGTCAATCACGTTTGAATGTTTTTTTAGTGCAAGCCGTGTTCATCCTAAATTTAGTTTTTAATTTAGTGCAGTGTCGTCAACCTAAGATTAATTTTAATTATCATTTAAGTAAATAGTCGAAAATTTCTAAATTTAATCTCAATAAATAGAAATTTGAGATTTTACACAATGACAAGACTCTTGCTGAGAATGCTCTAATCGCATTCCTTGTACCGCAAAAATTTCCATATCTGAAATTAATTGTTACATTTTTGGAAAATATAATATCGATCGAATTATTTACGGTTATCGTTAATCGAGTCTACACAAAGTATTCAAAAAAAGCATGTCATCCTTAAAAAACGAAATATGAAAAGCCCTGATCAAGCACACCCATCTGATTTAATTAGGATTAAACCGTACAAGTCTAAAACCAGTCGTAAAACCACCACTTTAAGCACCACGTATCTGTATCCGTCGCCAATTAAATGGCAAAATTATAAACGTTCGACATTTCCATAACCAGCAACAACGCGGCCACCGCCATCGCAACAAATGCTCATCTACCGACCCACTGGTGATAAGCAACGTCGCTATTTTTCTCTCCTCCCAGACTGACTAATTGCTCTTAGACTGGAAGCCATCGAAAATAGACTCAGTTCAACGTTCACGACCGAAATAAAACCCTATTTATACGAATGCAGAAGGCACATGAAAAACGAGAAACAATGAAGACGATACAGGAGCTGGCAATAAGTCAAAATTCCACTAAAAACGCATCATGGTCGGTGATTAAAAGTTTTTTTTCTTAGTCACCGCTAGATGGATATAAATATCTCCGAGTGCATTCCGTCTGATAGCTGAGGAATATTTGGGATTGCCCCTAAGTGTTTAAAATAGTACTCTGTATTTATCTGTCTCGTTTGTTTCCTGAGCTGCGTGTTTCGACATTCCAGAGACAGGAGACGACTTAACTTAAGGCAGATAATCGAATTTTCGGATCAACGACTCTGATAATTGATTAGCGCAGAGCGGTCTAGGGATTTATGCTCTACTGGTTCGGATTTGCTGGACTGGTTTGCAAGAAAAAGTGAGTCATGGAGCTAAAAAGTGGAGATGACTTGCGGTCGGGTTCGCGTGATGGGGGTTCTTACTAATTTTGTATAGTGTGTACTTTTATTTTTTGGTAAACTTTCACTTCTGAGAACATTTTACTGAGAAGTACCTAATGAAAAATTTAAATAGAAAAAGAAATTATGAGATACAATAAAATATAAATAATTAGAGTTTTTTTCCAACAGGTATGCACCGAAATTGATAGTGGTCTAGAGTTACAAATATTATCAATGTCTACATTTTTAAATATATCAAATATACCTTTTTTCCAGATATCAAACTTCTTACAAGTTTTAAGAATTAAATTAAAGATTTAAAGCAAATTAGAGGATAAGATGGTGGAATAAAACTTGGAATTTCATCGTCTTCTACAGTGAGAGATTTCTTTGACTTTATTAAAATAGTTACTACACTCTCTTTTTAAAAAAAATCTGTATCACTAACAATAAGTTTCAGTAAGTAACAT